TAGACATTTAATTATTCTTCAGAGAGATGAGGAAATATATTTAACATTCAGTTGGGCAAATAAAGTAACCACAACTATCATTAACTATTGAGAGTTTTTTCAGAGTTATTCTATTCAAAAATGAAAGCACCATGGTATAAATTTCATGGGTAGAGGATGATCATCACGATTTGGCAGGTACGAGCTGTGGTTGCACAGAATAAGGAGAGACACCCTGGGATATCTACTGGACACATCAGACCGTTTGACCTTGAATTAGGAGCTTGAAGGCCCCTCCCTATAACCCCCAAAAATGTTTTCTCTCCTTGGTAAGGTATTTAAGTTTCAAAAACTAAAGAGGGCCACTTTACAGGCATAGGCTGCATGACAGGGTATTTTGCTGATGCTCATTAAATGTGTGTTTATAAAAAAAAATAAAATAAAAGCCTTGGTTACTCAGCTTTGCTTATACAAGGTTTTTTATTACCTAGTGTTTAAATTATATTCTGTGTCCTGGGAATTTAAACTTAGTGTTTACTTAACACACATTTCTGTAAATAATTAATTCTTATTCTCCTAACAGTTCAGTTCATCAGTATGTTATTAAATATACCTGTAGTGGTAATTACAGAGGGCTTATCTCCTACATTACAATTTATAATCTTAGTTATGAAACAGTGTGACCAGAAGACAATTGGGCAAACCTGAGTAGGCCTGAAGTTTGTATGGTCTCTAAAGTGGTTATATGAAATTTAAATTGTTTATTTTTTTAATTACTTCTAAGGTACTTCGAAGTACTCAGGTGTACTAAGTAGTTTTAAAGTATTTTATGGTTCTGTTGAGAACATGTTGAGTAGTTGCATAGATTTGGTTTGATCTTTTCTATTAATTGATACCATGTGTTGTTGTCTTTTCCATGTGTTTTCAAGAAAAAACGCTGGAATAAAAAATTTAGAGCTAACAGAAGGGAGAGGTCAAGGGATTTACTCCTTGGCTTTGCTTTGTCTTTCAGATGGTGCTAGTCATAGACAAGAGATATCTCCTTGGTTGGAAATACCCAACTAAGACCTTTGTCCCTTTTATTCACTAAAAAAGTGAATAGAAAGTGGTGCAAAGGGTCCTATTGTTGGTCTAAGGTTTCTGAGGAAAATAATGCTCCAGTTTTACAGACAATAAATAGTTAATTTTTCTGACAATTTATTGCCAGCTTTAAAGAATGTGTACACGTGGCATAAAGGAAGACCAGACATAGATTCATTTTTCCTGCTCCTGTATATTGCCTTGAACTTCTCTGCAGAGAAAAAGGCAGCACTTAATTTAGCAAACTAATGATGAAAGGGCTTTACAACCTTCATTTAAATGGACTTCAGAAAATAAGGTGTAAATAGGTCTATACTGGGAGACAGTCTCTCTAAGTTGCATTCTTTGTTTGTTATCCTCACTAGGAGGGTCTGGATGCTGTTAGTCATGGAAACAGGTTAGTCTGATACACTCGTAATGCTCAAAAGTGTGAGAAGTATCCCTGATGTGACCTTCTTACAGCCTGGCCTGGACCAGCTGAAGGTGTTTCTGATTTGTCTTTTGAAGCAAGGAGAACATTTGTCCTGAATGTAGCCACCAACCTCTTACAGAAAGGACTGGGCTCAGACAGACTGATAATGTTATGTTTAGTCTTCCTTATCCTGGGTATTTGTAGCAGAACAGAGATAATGGAGGTTTGCTGGTACATGGACTCTGTGCTCCTGAAAAGTGACGTGGAAAATGTTCTGGTAACTTTTTGTGTGTGCGTGTGTTTGTCCTTTCTTCTTTGACAAGGAACTTTAACCATTTGAGTTCACCTGTGACCAATAAGACAAAAATTCTGAGTGTTATGTAGGGGAGAGTGTGTGGGGGAATGTGTTAGTTTTTACTTTGGATTTTGTTTAATACTATTGTGTAAGTTAAATTCTTACACTGAAAGTTACTTCTCTGTGGTTTGCAGAAAGAATCCTTACACAGAATTATAAAGCTAATGGAGACAACTTGATAACTTAAATGTATTTAGCATAGACATTGTTTCTTGATATAATTTAACAATTTGCCAGTTATGTGATTACTTCAACTTTATTTAATTTTATCAACACTGTTTTCACAATAGACATGTGGCAAGCTGGTTTTCATTGTTTTTATTTGTAGCAGGCAACAAATACATCCACAGCTCTAAGTATATTGCTTTAATGTTGAGAAGGACATAGTTGGTAGTGTTGCAGTCCATGGTCCTGGTGGGAAATTCCTCAAATCAAAAGACAGAAAGTAACTGGGGTGTTTGTAGCCAAGGCCCAAGACCAGAGGATGGGGAATCTGCATTCAGATCTGACTGGTTGAAACAGTCACACTTGGGAGAATTTTAGAGTTTAGAAATATTTGGCAACCCACGTAGTAGAAAAACAATGTTCCACAATTTTTTATCAAAAAGCACTGGATCCATGAATGATCTGTAACACGTTGATCTCTCACAGTGGTGATTATATTGTGGATAAAGGTATACACAGAGTTTGGTGCATCAGAGCAGGAAGGCTGCGGGACTGCTACAAGGCTCTTTAAAATTCCAGATTCTCCAGTAAATTACAAATAGGACATGTTTCACAGTCAAGGTTTATAAATCTCATGAATGCTGTTGGAAGTTAAACCAGCTGAGTAAAGGCTACGCTAAAAATTTATCAATTTTCGTGGTTATCAGTCTCTGAAACGTTATCAGCAGATTTATGAATTTGCAGAGATCTCTCTTTTTAGTGCTGTGAGAGAACTCTATTTAACCTTTAACTGCAGCTGTAGAGATTTTCTTGTTAAGTAACTTATAAAATACTTAAAGCATGCTTATGGTAATTAAAACGTCTTGAAAATGGGAGATAATGTCAGCATGATTGTTCTAAGAAAATAGTACATTATGTCAAGAAAATTTAAAATTAATTTTATCCACCTTACTGTGGTAGCCATGAGAGTACCTTCTTGTTGTAGATAGGTGCTTTCTAGGTAAAAAATAATCCAGAAGTCAAACGTTTACAACAGACTCTAAGAATTGCCTGTATTTGTTTCCAGTGGCTTGTCCCTGGTTTGTGCCAAAAGCTGCTGTATATAATGATGTCACTATGTGTCCTGTCAGTTGTGTCCTTTACTGGCTGTTCCACAGCAGAAAGCTGGGGATAGAGGAATTGCCTGGATCCTTTGCAATAGGAGTGAGAGGATTGTTTTATTGATGAGAGGTTATCAGAAAGAGCTGAGTAGCCTGAGAAGGAAGAGAAGCTGGAAGTGAAATACCCAGAGAAGTTGGGAAACTTAAGGATGAAATGAGCTCACTTAGAAAAGCAGAGAATGAGAAGAATATTTGGCCAAACTTTTAAACACACTATTTTGAATTTGGTGATTATCATTTGTTTCTTAGATGTGTTGGTCATGCTGAATAGGGTAGAAGTAATTGCTTTGATTACACTTGAGCCTGCAGTGGCATCAGGAGCAATTAAGCTGAGATTCTTGCAACTCCTTTTGTGGCTCTCCTTTTGGATGTTTCCTCTGCTTTTCTTAGCTTCCACTACCTGTAAATCTGTAATAATCTGTAAAAATCTGTAATAATGTAATAATAATAACAATGTAATAGTCTGTAAAAATCTATAGTAATGCACAGGTAGTAGGCAGTAGGTTTAAGCACTTGGTAAGTCTTTTTGGATGGAAATACTCCTCCAGCTCTTCCTCAGAGAATTCTCTTCTAGACAAATGACAGTAGAAGAGGGACGTGGGATCCTGATATACGAGACTGGGGAGCAAGGTGCACAAATCCCAACAGTTTAGCAACAAAAGTCCCACCAAGGTGTCAGGCACAGTTTGGGACAAGCCCTGGCTGGAACATCAAGTGTATTGCAGAGCACAGACACTGTCAGCTTGTGGTGTGAAGGACATGAGGGAAAGGTGACAGAAAGTCCTGAATCTGGGGAAGATGTGGCTATTTAGAAGAACATGGTAAGAAGGAGATAAGTGGATTTAAAAAATAAAATGTAAAAAAAAAAAAATCAAAGGCAAAGGTCTCCTGTTGATGCAGTACTTCAGCTTGCACAAGTTAATGGCTGCCCAGCTCCCTTGTGTGAAAACATGGGACTGCAAGAGCAGAAGTGTGGCCAGGGATGTGATGGAGCAGGAAGCTGCACAGGAGTGAGGCACTGCCCCATGGCAGCGGTGTGGGGAGTGAGAGCCAAGGTGGCTGTAGAAAGAAGCAAATAAGAAATGGAGGGGGGAAATGGAAACTGGGCCAGGAGTAAGGATCACTCCCAGCAAAGGGGCAGAAAATCCAAATGGGAAAATGTGTGGGGTTTGGGGGTGTTCTTAGTGTGGTTTGGGTGTTTGATGGGTTGTTCAGTTGGTTTTGGATATGTTTGGAGGTTTTTTGGAGTGGTTTGTTGTTTTGGGGTTGGGGGTTTTTTTGTTGGTTGAGGTTTTTGTTCAAGACATTAGTTTAATACCAATCTGAAAGTAGCTAAGCAGCTATGTATTCTATGTAGTCAGTGCTTTTCAAGACAATTAGTGGCTTTACTTTTAAGTGTTCAGACTGCAGCCACTTGTGAATTTACTGTGACCACAGGTAAATACTTGATCAAGCCTCTACCAGCCTCAGGCTTCCAACAGAGGGCAAATACCTAATGAGAAGAAAAACATGAGAAGATAGTCTGTCAAGGGCCTTGAAACCTGAATAGACAGGATTGATTTGGTGATGCAAGTCAGACTTGGTTGTAGCTTGACCCTAGTCAGCACCAGAATTTTAAAAGCAAAACCAAAGCAGGTAACTGTTATGTACACAGAAGGCCCATCTGGGACTGGGTTGTGTGCTTATATATACATGCAGATCATGCTTTTGTATCCATTGGTTTATACATACAGAGAGGTACTTGTTCTATTTAGCACTCTGGAAATTGCAGGGAATGCAGTGCTGCTTTGTGAGGAGATGATGCATTTCAGACATCATACTGTCTTCTGCAGTGCTTTTACTAGGCTGGTGTGGAGAAAAACTTTATTTAATATCCATGGTTTTTTCAAAGTACTTGTTTTGCAGGATATTTGCAGTCATCCAACCTGATTGGATGATATATTTTGCTACAAAATCATGATATTATGTCAGTACCACTGATTTTGAACAGTAGTTAAGGCAAATCTCTGTAGAAGCAGGTGGAGTAAGGACATGCCTGGGAGCAGAATGGGGAGTGTGTTTCACTTGTGTTTGCCAGTGGGTAGTGCTGGGGATCCTCTCCTGCAGGTGTGGCCACTCCAGTACTGCAGTGCTCTGCAGTGAGTTCCATGGCTGTATTCCTGTAGAAAGGAGTACAGGCAAGAAGGCACATCATCATTTCATTGCAAAGAGGAGACATTCAGACTGTAGAAATGGATTGCTTTAGAATATGCTTAGAAATAGAGTGCAGATTTAATAATGTTAGGAAAACTTTCTGTCAGGCAAGAGGAAAATACTGCATTTGTGTATTTCATTGGAAGAGCTCCCTCTTCCAACTTGCAGTTGAAACTATCTGATAAGAATAGCAGTGGTTAAGCCAATACTAACATTATTAGACTTGAATACTGAACATGAAATATGAATGTCATTATCAGTAATGATACATTCATTCATGTTCCTTTTGTACTTACAAAGGGTTCAAGCGCTTATAAAATTGATAATTTTGTACAATAGCACATAAAATATCAGTTACATTTCTCCCTGCCTTTCGTATCTGGTAAATATTTTATTTCTCTTGTGTACATCTGTGAAAAACAAATGCTACAATAGTACAAAGATACAGTAGTACAAAGTTTAAATACTGTGCTTAATTTTTATAGCCAGTAGGAATCAACTTGGTCAGCATTCATTCAAGTCCAAATGATCAGATGTTGTGGGCAATTGATAGCAAATGGAATGTCCACGTACGAGTTGGAATTACAGATGAAATGCCTGTAGGTACTGACTGGGAACATGTACCAGGTAAAAATCAATACATCAATTCCTTCTTGTTTCTGCCATTTTTCTCAGTGGTTTTTTTTTTCTTTTTTTTCTTTTTACATTGTAAGTTGGATAGTAATGATTTTCTTTTTTTTTTTTTTTTTTTTGCAATCAAGTGTTTGATAAGGGTTATCTTTTAAAGAAGACCTTGGTTTTACGTAAAAACATTGAGTAGTTAACTGGGAGAAATATGATGTTTTAAAATTAATTTCTGTTGTGTTATTTCAGGCTGCTGCCACTTAATTAGTAAGTGGTACACTTCCCTTTCAGTTAAAACTAAAGCAGAATTCCTAAGCAGCAGGGAGACTCTTGTGCTGTGGGGTTTGTTATTTAATTGTGATATCACATGAGGTTTCTACCTAGATGTGGGTAACAAAAACTATTTTGCACATCTTTCTACTAATCCTGCATGCTGGATATGTTGTAGGTTATGTAATTACACTTTTACCTTGTCTTTAAATAAAACTAAATTTTATTTGTTTCCTTCTAAATAATTCTGCATTGATGCTGTGTGCTTTTTAAAGATTTGTCACTGCATTAACTCGCGGCACTTAGTTGCAGAGTCCTCTTGTGAAGAGAGGGCAAGAGTCCACAATATCTGTAATGTTAACCATTTTTAGACAAATTAAGATTGTAATTGTTGGTTTATTTCCCATGTGGTAGCCACATACAGTGAGGGCTCCAAAAGCATGTTTTGAAAGTCCTCTAATTGGATGTTGTTTGTGGATGTGGCCACATAACAAATTATATCCATGCTGGGATAACCCTTATGGTCAATGGATGCAGGGAGTACCAAGTCTGCAGTTAGAAAGCTTCTTTGTTCACCAGTGCTTCATGTAAGAATATATAAAAACTATTAGATTCTTAATGTCTGCTCTCAAAGTACTTCCTGCAAGTGTATTTAGTGTCTAGGAAAGGCTGATTATTCCCTCCTCATGTCCAATTCCCTGTAGGTTTGCAGGCCTGCCAGCTGGCTCTAAGCACCAGGACTGTGTGGGCACGCTGCCCCAACGGAGACGTCGCGCGCCGGTACGGCATCACTGACAAGAATCCTGCGGGGGACTACTGGAAGAAGATTCCTGGGAATGTCTCACGTTTAACAGGCAAGTTGGTTCTGCGTGACAGTCTGTCCAAAATATTGTGATGTCTGCTTTGAGTTCTACCTGATGGTGCTCAAGCTGACCATATGCAGGGAGAGCTGCACATACTGTGTTTCACCAAGGGTGTTTTTATCACATTAGTAAAAGCCTTCTCTGGGTATAATTGGGAAAACAGATCCAAATATTATTTATTCAATGTTTAGAATTGGAACTTGCTACTATAATTAAAAGATGGATAATTTATGCTTTGCAGTGACCCCTCTAGATGAACTGTGGGCAATCAGTACTTCAGGATCTCTGCTCCAGCGCCTCACTAAGACCTTTAGCCATTCCCATAGTTTGCAGAAAAATAATGACACCTCTGTTCTGCTTCACCCTGATGATTTGGAAGATGAATGGGAAGTGATATGAAGTCTGTCAAGCTTGTGAAGCAGTGAAAAAAACAGGACGACAGAATTTCTGTAATGTATGTACAGAATATGGGATCTAAAAGCCACTCATTGGACCTGTGATATTAGCACTTTTGTATTGGAAAACTGACCTGTTAAATAGCCCCCAAGCTGTGAGTTTTGATGTTTGTTACATATCTTTTGGGAGACTCTTTAGGTGTGGCATACTGCAATTGTTATACCGTACTACTGTAGAAGCTCCTTTGGAAATATAACTCTTTAAGTTAACCTTACTAGCAATGAAAGTGAATACTTCACAACAGCATGCAACTAATGTACTGATTTTGAGAAGGAATTCTGTTGCATTAAATATTTCTCTACAGTGGAAACATTAAACATTTCTCAATTTCTTCTTGTATTTGAAACTCCATACCATACTAATGGGATCACTCCCTGACTCTTGTACATATATTTAGAATTATTTTTCCTTGCAGCATGGAAGAAAATATGCTGAAGTATTTCTTAATAAGATCTGAGAACATCATGATTACACAGTATTGTTAGAATTAACTGAGTTTGATCCATTTCCGTATAAATAATTGCAAGGCTATACTAACCTTCCATTTCCAGAAATTTTGTTCATAATTTGGGCTTCATTCACAAGGTAGAGATTTGGATTACACCTAATATGAGGGGGACTTTTGCCCATTTCCATAGCCATCAGGAAGCTGACAGAGCTTTGAGGCTGAGTCCCAGTTTGAAATAAGAAGAGGTCACTTGTTGGGTTTGTAGTACAAAGCAGGAATGTACAAGGCAGCTTTCATAATTCCTGTTGTGCTGTATTTGTGCCTCCAGCCAGTGCTTTAACATTTGGACTCATATTGTTTTGAGTACCAAACTTAGAAGTATTAAGAATAAAATGGTAATTGATAGAATTACCTATATATCCCATTAAAAATTGTGATATTGTGAGAAAATACTTAACAATATTCTTATTTTTAGCTATGTTAGCTAAATTTTGAAGTGTCTTATACTTAACAGATATTGCAACAGAAGTATGTGATGAACTGGGAAGTAACCTAAGTTAATCATTGCAGTTTATTTTTCTTTATACTAAATCTTCTTTGAAAGATACCTCATCTTTTTTAAGCAATAGAACTGTACATGAGAGAACCTGAGTTCAGTATGTAGGCGGAGGAGTTATTTTGTGTTTGTTTTAAGCTTCTAAATCATCAGAATGTTTTAAGCAGCTGCTAACCAATACTGTAAAAGAGCCAGCTTCAGGAAAGGCCAAGAGTTGAAAAGTGGGGATGTTTCTGTTTTCAGAACTTAACACAAATGGAAAAGGATGTGTTTTCTTTTTAACCTTTGTTGTCTTTCAGAATAGTTCATGCTTGTGCTGCACTGAACTTGGAACAAACATGGTGCAAGGTGAGAACTGGTGGAGAGAGAACCAAGTTATGTCATTTTTTTTTTTAGTAGCACATTTGGTATTGGCTGTCAGTTCTCAGTTGAATCTCAGTCCTACAGGAAGGACAGATTTATTTCCCTTTTACAGATGATATGTCTGTTTCTTTGCTAGCTCATCTCCATACAGAGATTACCCCAGAGATATTCTTTTAGCCTGTCTGGAAGTGGATGGTAATGGAATCAGCTTGTGAAGTAGCCCAGTCTGCTTTATGCAAGCATAGCTTGGTGTCTTGAGGACCCCAAAGAAGCTGAAATTCAGCTTAAAAATATCTTATGGCAACTCCCAAGTCAATCACTTTGGAGAAAACATGAGAAAGAACAACTTCCTGTGAGCTCCAAGCACCAAATGCTCAAGTACAATGGCATTATTTAATAGTGACACTTTTGTATTACATTTTTCAAAGTCATCTTAGTAATGGTTTGAGCTTGCTAGTTGTTTATTTACTGTACAATAATGTTCCTTGCTATGGTCGTTAATATTCAGTTGGTGTCAGGAGCTCTTACAGACTACTTTTTAGGGTAGTTTCAACAAAATTAGGATGGGTTTTTTTACTTTTATTTCTGTATTTAGGTTTTTGGTTTTGTTTGTGCTTTAAGACAAGTGCAATAAATTAGATTTTTAAGAAATAAATTACTGTGGTAAGACTCATCTTTTGTGTGATTTACAAGAGAATTCTCTATGTCTGGCAATTGTGAAGGACTGTGCTTATGAAATCCTTCCCTAATGTTCCCCCAGACAACATGGTAATGACAATGTAAGGACCTGGATGCTGTGAAGTTTGTTTTTGTTTTTTTTAATTGTGACAGGTGTGTCAAGCCAGCAAAATGTTCATCATTCAAGCAAAGACAAACACGTCTCATATTTGAATATTAAGCTTGTTGCCTCCATATTAAGATAGTCTTGCTGTAATAGAAGTAAACAAATTTCTTTCCTTACATGCTGAACAAAAACTGCATGTTGAATATTTTAGCTCTCAGTGAAAAATATGCATTTGTGGTTCCAGCTAGAATATGGTCCAGCAGAAAATGGTGATTGTACCACGTGTGCTGTAACTGCACCCTTCCTTGAATTATTCATTATCTGAGGACTTCCTGTGTTTCTGGCATTTTGCTGGAACTGCAGCTGGGGCTTAAAAGAGAACACCTTGGCTTGGCTTCCCAAAGGAGAGAGCTGTTTCCTGAGTCGGGACCTGGGTAACTTCACACACGAGAACATAACAGTGATTAATGAGGCTTCTGACTCCTAAACACACTTCCAGCCCCAGGAATCCTGTTCAGATTCAGATGGCAGCGTCCTTGCTAATTATCATAGCTTTTATCTTGACTAACTGGTTCAGCTGCTTCTCTGACTCCTGCAGGGAA